CGTAGGGCTCACATGCTGTGTGTTGTTGCTTTAGATGGAATTCCAGATTGCTAAATGCCAATTGTATAACAGACTGATTGATTGATAACAGATTGCTGCTGTGACTGTACCTGTGAAAGGACAAGGGAATTGTGCAGGATATGCCCTGAGGGGCATGAGTCATCCTGACCTACAGGCAATGAACTATGCTTTGGAAAAGTGCTTCAAAGAGAGGATCTCTCATGAGATTAGAAGCCCTATCCTAGGAACTGGGTCTCTGCCTAAGGACCTATTTTGCTCTGCGTTTACTTGGTCCTTTTGCCACAGAGTGATTTTGCAAGATTGACTAGTCTGCTGATGACAACAGCATTGTTATTGTTTGCACTTGTAAATGATACATTGAAACCAAATTTACCTAAAGGTAATTACAAATAAACAAATAAAGAAGTGGAAGAGGGAAAATAGTGCTGCAAACAAAGCAAGACATTTCATTTGGCCTGACGTGGAATGTTTTTTCGTGTGAGGAAACAAATATTTCAGTTTCTGGTCAACCCAAAACAGTATTTTTTCTCAATTCAGCGCTCAGCTAAAAACAGATTGTTTTCACAGTAATTCTTGTGAAGACTGCTGAGGCTAATTATACCCCTAAGTAGAGGTTAGGTGGGTGAGGATTGTGGTTTAGTGTTCTGGACTTCAACAAGTTGGACAATTAGTACATTCATTGTCATATTACTGTTTCTCAGCTAGACACCCAGACACTGGCATACACTGTTGCTCTGAGTAAGCCACTGAAGATGCAGTCGGAACAACACAGGCAGGCTCTTCTGGCTGCAGAGAAGTCAGTTATAAAGGTTACCACCTGCCGTCCAACCTACAGCTGTTCTTCCCTGCCCTCAGGTTTGCCAGCATAACTGCACTCATACTTTCTGCTTATTCCTCTTCTGTCAAAATGATCCTGTGGTTCTCGGGAACTTTTACAAACTTCTCGTCAGAACTTAAGGAAAGAAAAAAATTATTTGCTTTAACAGCATCTATCCCTGACATCATATGCCAGGCCTGAGCATGGGGGAGAAGAATTCATATAAAGGCTGTTTTCAGATAAAGCGACATCTTACAGCAATCCTGATGGCTTGTCCATGCAGAAATCACGTTGTATACCAGGTGTTTTGTAAGCAGAACGCAGTAATTTAAAGGCAAATTTGACCTTTTGTGACCTGCGTGATACGTGGAGCTAGTGCACATGTTTTTCTTTTTCTCTTCTGTGCAGCTGATGTGTTTCAGAAGTAGCATATGCACCTCAGATCTATGGAGACAGGTAGTCACTTCCTAATGTAAGAATAGCCTAGCTTCTCTTTAAATACCCTGATGCTTCAACAAGCAGATCTGCCTTGGATCTTGCAGTGACTCATTATGAGCTATCCGATACCTGATACCTTGTTTTAAACCTGCTTCCCTCAGGCAGAGATCAGCTGCAGGTTGAAATTAACAAGAAGCTACCCTAGCTAATTCTTCACTTTGTGATAGATCTGATGTCCTAGGCCTGCCCGATTGCACAGGGAAGAGGAAGACAGATGGAGGAACTATTTGTTTACCCACTTAAATACAAACACATTCTTATTTTAGACCAGAAGCTGTTGAGGTAATGACTGTCATGCATTATGGCTGTGTCTACACTGTTATTTTAGTGTAGGACTTCAGTTTACCCTGATGTCCAGATTCCCCAGTGTCCCTACCACTAACAAACAGGCTAGCTTTCTGCTTTTACTTTGGAAAGAGTCAAACAGCCCTTTGGGAAAGGCAAGTGAAGTTGAGAAGTGGGCTGGGCCACATTTCAGCAGTAGCTCTGCAGGTAGTACGGGCACCGCTGTGCCCATCCTCAAGCCCTGCTCTTCTTGTTAATGCAGATACAGGCTATATTGAGTCACTGCAAGATCCAAGTTCAGGCATTAGTGCATGACCTGTGCAGCTGCGAGGTGAATTCATACCTTTCCTGCTCAAAATAAGGAGTTAGGAGACAGTGTGAAGCTAACAGAGTGGTGAGTTGTTCTCAACCAGGGACGCTGAGATGGTGCTCTTGACAAATAGGCAGAGAATATGGCACCTGAGTTTTTGGAAAAACCCTAAAATTGCTGTGGCTTTTTTTCCAGGCACTTCTTGGCATAAATCTATGTTTCTGTCTAATCTTTGACAGCAATAGTAGGAAGTGCTTTAATAGCCTTGGTGCTGTTGTCATTCACCTCCTCTGCTGTGCTGATACCTGAGGACTTACTGTGTCTCTACAGTAACCATTAGATTGTAAGGCTGTTTGGAGTGGGGACTAAGTCTTGATTACATGTAAATAGAATAAATATGATCACCGTTTATGCCACCTTCCATGGGTCTTCATTCTTCTTGTGTGAGGCAAGACTGCTGTGAGTGAAAACTACCCCAAGACCGTTGCCAGTTTATCAATAACATTTGTAGCCAACATTCAGCCTAAGGAACTAATTCTGTGAACTTTAGTTTCTGACAGGCTTATGTTGAATAGTTGGGCATGGCAACTTGGAAAGAGAGGCGCAGAGGTACTCTTTCACTTTCCTGCTTCTGGGTTTTCCAGTGTCTCAGAAGCACAAAATTCACTGTGCTGAGTGGCACCAGGATGGGAACTGTTTTTCTGCCCCTTCTACTGTTTTGATGTGAGCTTTGAAGTATTTTTGAGATCTCACTCTTTTTTTTTTGAGATTACGGCTAGTTTAAATGTTGTTTGGGGAAAGGGTAAGAGGGAAACTCAAAGTCATGAGTAGAGACATATACATGATTGCACATATTTTTTTCTTAAGGAAACCAGGCTGGAAATATATTATGAGAAGATCAGTAGCAGAGCATTAAAAAAATAGGGAGTGACCATTTCCACCTGAAATATGCCCTATTTCCCTTGTGTATATATTCACGGTGGCAATTGGCCAGATCCTCAGATGTGTAAAACCACAGAGCTTTGCTGAAGTCCCAGCCGCCGGTGTGACTTCATAGGCCCAGAGGAATCCAAATATGTGGGCCCAAAGAGAGGGTTAAGACTCACTTCTGTGCAAAAGGTAGGACAGACAGGGTTCTTTTCCGCTTTCCTGCCTATTTGTCAAGAGCAGCCCTTCACATCCTCATAGTAAATGCAAAAGCTTGGTCCCATATGGGCCCCATGAGTGTCGCAGCCACTGGGAGCCCTGTGGCTGTGGCCCCAACACACTTCTCAGTGCTGTCCCAGCTCCTGGCTCCACTGGGACCCATCAGGGCTTAGGTTTCACACTTGGAGTCAATGCTGCCTCTGAACAGAGAGGTCACTTTGCTGCACAATGGGCGCTGCCAAAACCACAGCCATGACAAATGTAAACTGCAGTGTCAAATGTGGAACAGGTGGACTCTGAGTTGCTAGGCGGCATCTTACAAAGTGATTTTATGCAATGTCTTTCCAAAGCATTAATACACTGTCTTGACACATCTTTCCCTGGGGCACTGACTGGTAACTGACTGAAAATAGATGAGCAAAGGTGAAGGGCCAGGTTTTTGAAGAAACCAAGAGAGATACACCAAGGATGCATCTGGGCCCGTATTTTTCAAACTGAGTTGGAGGAGCCTTATGCTTCTTTGATGGGTACATAATGAGGAAGATTTGAGTCTGAGTTACTGCAGGAGATGGTTGGCGTTCCTCAGCCAGGCAAATGTAGCGCTCTGCTCAAGGGAGTGTTCGGGCTATGGCACCATGGGGCGAGAGTCGATGTAACTAACCCCTGGCTGCTGTGATCCCACCCTCCTCACCCTATCTTTAACTGTGAGTTTTTGCCTCCTTTTTTTGTGTTCTTCTGGCACTTGTTAGGCTCTGTGCTGAGTTGGTTCACTATACTGACCTGACAGAAAAGACAACTGATGTAGCAAGCTAAAATGGTTCAAAAGAGACCCCAACAGCAGTAATGCAGGTACAGGGATGGTAGGAACAAAGTTTGCAGTACTTAGATTACCTTCTGGTGTCATGGAACTGCCTCTGCATGCATCTTTGACAGGGTACAGGCAGGAAATCTGCATTATTGGTAAGGCTGACATATGGCTGTGGCCGTATTGCTTCTTCCTCTTCACCTCCCTTCCAGGTGGTTATTCCAGCCCCCATACTGTAACACGTTACAAATTCCCTTTGTCAGCTGTGAGATGGATTGGGGAACTGATCCAGCTTTAAAGAAAAATAAATATATTTTTCTGAATTACTTTTCAGGTGTATCAATTCCCTGATTCATTCACCAATGCAATCGCCCCATCATGTAGACTGGAATAGCTGAGGGAGCAGCGTGCCAAGGCATTTAGGTAAAAATGGGTAATATGGGACGGTAGTGGGGGAGATGCGAAAGACAGTAATACCCAGAGACGATTTTACCCTAAATACTCTGTAATATCAAAGCACAGAGATAGAAATTGACTGCTCCAAAGAAGCGAATCATGTTGGAAAATATGTTTTAACTGATGCATTACTAAATGCTGGACATATGATTTATGTAGAGGCATGTCCCATGTTCTCTCTCTGGCCTTTCTTTTGGCTCCTTCTGGACCGGAAAAACAAATAGTAAGGGAGAGGCTGGGAAACAAAATCACCCTTTGAGATTTAGAAGATAGCTGGGAGACCCTGGATAATATCTATGTTCCTTTGAAGTGAAGGCTAAACAGATTAGGAGAAGAAGAGCATAATTGAATTAAAGCCTCTCTTTTTCAGAGTAGATATACTTTTACCCTGGCTAAGCAATTTCCTGGTGGAGGTTTTTATCACTTTCCAGCACCTGCTGGTTTAGGAGGGCAACACTCCAGAGATTATTCTGAGCGAGTGCCAACAGCCAGCATTTCTCACTCCGCTCTCCGCCGCCTCCACCCCCTGCACTGCTCTAGACACCCACCCCAATATAGAATGACAGCACATTGCCACAGTTTAAATGACACTGCCTCTGCCTCTTCGGAAGGACAGTTCTTGCTGAGAGCACCAGCCACGGCAACTTTCCACCCTTGCAAAAAAAGTCTTCATCATGGCATATAAGGGAGCACATTTAGCTTTTAAGTCACGCTGGCATAAGACAGATGAAGAACTCTGTCGGCACAGCATGTCCTTTGTCTTGCATAAGGCGATCCGGAATGACTTCTTCCAGAGTTACCTTTATCTGCTGGAAAAACTTCCCCTGGGTGAGTACCTGGTGAGCAGGAACGTCTGTGTGCGTGTGTGACCGCTTTCCAGAAAGACATATCCTGCTAGATGGTAGAATACAAACCCATTAATGACAATAAGTAGTTCCGAGAAGCCCTGCTGGAGTGTGAACTAGACCATTTGCTACTCTCCCTCCCAGCTCCCTCTAATTCAATATCCTCTTATTTTACCTAAATACCCCACAAATTGTTGGCAGGGACGGGAAAGGAAAGACCTCAAAAATAAAATCTGTTTTCTGTTGATGGTAGCATTAGACTTTTTAGTCACCATTAAATTAAAGCGTACATTGACCTGTATGGAGCTTGGAAGGACAAATATGAAAATACCAGAGCTGACGGGCCTTACTTTCTGTTGTCTGATACCCGTTTTGTTGTCTTTCAGTGTGTTCTTAGCCTTATCACAAGTATTGCTTTGGACAAGTGTTTGAAAGGTTTTATTTTTTTATCAAGAGCCGCTGTAATCCAGACCTCTGCAGCAGGTTGTCTTGCCCACTATTTATTATCTGGTGGGAAAATACTTCCAAAATGTTTGTGTATAGCACAGTTTCAGTGGAAGACTCTGGTTACAGGATGCAAAGACATTTATTTAGGTGCAGAAAAAGGATGTTCGTTTCTCATGACAATTTGACCCTGAACAAGAACCAAAGATCTCACCAGGACAGCATAGCTAAAGGGGAGTTTTTACTTGCATCTATATTATGTTAGCATGTCACTTTTTTAGAAGAATTATGCAACTTCCACTGAACATTAGAACTGTAGGCATTTGAGATGGGAAGGATGTGTCTGTCCAACCTGCTAAGCTGCTCTTCATAGTGAGTTCTTGAGGGCTCCTTCCTAATTGAAAGATCCATTTAGGCAAGTGGATTATCTTACCTGATCGTGTGAAAATACATGGACCACAGTGAAAATGCTGCTTAAGATGCTAGAATTCAAAAGTCCTGGAAAGAGAAAAGGCATTGCCATATTTTTTAGAATTCAGTGTGACTTTTAACAGCAATATCTGCAGCTATTGAAAATGAAGCAGAGAAGATAAATTCTCCTGTCCCTATGGTAGGTAGATGGGAAAAATGGAAAGGAAGGAAAGATGGAAAGGAAGGAAAGTTAATTCTAGGTCCATATAATCTCAGGAAATCTATGAAAATGTTGTTGTTCTGTTTGTTTTGAAAGTAAACACAACATATTAGAAACTAAGCAGGATATCCCACAATGTAACTGTTAGTGTAATTATTAATAATTATTTAAAGGCTTTAAAAGGTACCATTGTGAACATCTAGCCTAGAATTTCACATACTGGTTCCTGTATCATGCTTGTAACTTTTGACTGGGCCACAGTATATGTTTGTGAAGACAAAAATACCTTAGTTTAAGGACTCTAAGCGACTGAGAATTCATCAATCTGTCATTAAGCTGCTCCAAGCCTAATCACTCCACTGTTTTAAACCTATTCTATTTCTTGTCTGAATTTATTTGAATTCCCATTCCCTGCCAACAAGTTTTGTTAAGGCTTTGCTTATCAGATTAAAGAGCCCCTCTGCCAGCTTTTTCAGGTCCTGAACCATTCTTACAACTTTTCTAAGCAGTTTTCCATGTGTCAGCTTATTGCCAGCATATCGGAATTAGTTGTGAGTCCAGCCTTCATGTGAACCTGTAGTTCACAGAATCACAGAATCACAGAAAAGCCAAGGTTAGAAGGGACCTCTGGAGATCATCTAGTCTAACCCCCCTACTCAAGCAGTCACCTAGAGCACATTACCCAGGCTCGCGTCCAGGCGGGTTTTGAATATCTCCAAGGAAGGAGACTCCACAGCCTCTCTGGGCAACCTGTTCCAATGCTCAGTCACCCTCACAGTGAAGAAGTTTTTCCTCAGATTCAGATGGAGCTTCCTGTGTTTCAGTTTGTGCCTGTTGCCTCTTGTTCTGTCGCTGGGCACCACTGAGAAGAGTCTGGTCCCATCTGCTTGACATGCTCCTTTTAGATATTTGTATACATTGATGAGATCCCCTCGCAGTCTTCTCTTCTCCAGGCTGAACAGGCCCCGCTCTCGCAGCCTTTCTTCATAGGAGAGATGCTCCAGTCCCCTCATCATTTTAGTAGCCCTCCGCTGGACTCTTTCTAGGAGCTCCATGTCTCTCTTGTACTGGCGAGCCCAACACTGGACACAGTACTCCAGATGTGGCCTCACCAGGGCTGAGTAGAGGAGGAGGATCACCTCCCTCCACCTGCTGGCAACACTCTTCCTAAATCAGCCCACGATACATTGGCCTTCTTTGCCACAAGGGCACATTGCTGGATCATGGTTAACTTGTCCACCAGGACTCCCAGGTCCTTCTCCACAGAGCTGCTTTCCAGCAGGTCAGCCCCCAGCCTGTACTGGTGCATGGAGTTATTCCTCCCTAGATGCAGGACCCTGCACTTGCCTTTGTTGAACTTCATGAGGTTCCTCTCTGCCCATCTCTCCAGCCTGTCGAGGTCCCTCTGAATGGCAGCACAGCTCTCTGGTGTATCAGTCACTCTTCCCAGTTTAGTATCATCAGCAAACTTGCTGAGGGTGCACTGCTTCTGTCCCTTCATCCAGGTCACTGATGAATATGTTGAACAAGACTGGACCCAGTACTGACGCCTGGGGGACACTGCTAGCTACAGGCTGATCACAGCCCTCTGAGCTCGGCCATCCAGCCAGTTCTCAATCCACCTCACTGTCCGCTCATCTAACCCACACTTCCTGAGCTTGCCTATGAGGATGTTTTGGGAGACAGTGTCAAAAGCCTTGCTGAAGTCAAGGTAGACAACCTCCACTGCTCTCCGCTCATCTACCCAGCCAATCATAGAAGGCTATCAGATTGGTCAAGTTTGTCTGTTACTCCATGGTAACTGTCATGAGGTAAAGGTGACAAGAGACAATGAACATAAGTTGAAACGATAGAGCTTCAGACTGGATATAAGGAACAACTTTGTCCCCATGAGGGCAATCAGGCTTTGGAACGGGTTTCCTGGTGAGGTTGTGCAATTCTCCTTCCATGGAGGTTTCCAAGACCTGACTGTATAAAGCCATGAGGAACCTCGTCTGACCTTATGACTGCCCCTGCTCTGAGCAGAAATTTGGACTAGAAGCCTCTTTAGGTCCCTTCCAACCTGGATTATCCCGTGATCCTATGTTCTAAGCGGTGGAGAGGACAGAATGTGCCAGGTCTGAGCATCTCTTCAGAATTACATTTTCTAGTTTGGTTCAGAGTGCAACTGAAGAGAAATGAACTGAACTTTTCAGGCTTAAACACTAGATCCTGATCTCTCTGTGTAAACACTGATAAACCCTTTAAACAGCACTAGGACTGTCACCTAGCAGGGTAGTTAAGCATGTGCTTAACTTTAAGCATCAGTAATAGCACTGAAATCAGGCCTCCCATTGAAAGTTGCAGTGCAGCCCAGGGTCAGCCAGGTAGAAACTTTGCTTTGAGCCATACTAACTCCACACTCACTCCACTTCTCCATTGCTAGGTTCGGTGTTGGAGCACTTAGGCATGTTTGCCTATGAGCTGAGCATATCTGATATCACAATCTGTTAAGAGAAACATGTCATCTTCACAGACCAGAGTAACACTTATAAATAAAAGCCATGAGTAACTTTAGGCTCTAGTCCAACAATGTATTTAAATGTGTGTGAATGCCCTTAAGCACAGTGGACTTTAATGGAACCACTCAGATGCTGATTATCATGTATGTTTTTACATGGGGCTGTGGGACTTTCTGCCAATGGGGTGAGTTCTATAGTGAAAGACTCAAATGATCAGTCAACAGAGCCAAATATTTCAGTGTGTGAGGCAGGTGTCTGTATGTAAAACAACTTTGGGGGAGTTAATGTTCATCCTCTGTTAAACAGAATGTAAGTGGTCTTCAGACCACAGTAGAGAGGTGGATTCTATCCTGGACCCAGATAACTATTTTTCAACTGATGCACAAAGCAGATGTTGCGTTTAAAAGGAGATACTCAGCCAATCTGGAATTAGTTAAGTATCTTGCAGAAAGCAGTTGGAACCACAAAATAATGCTCGCAGATAAAAACTTCAAAAAAATTATTTGCAATATTTGCTTCTGGCAGGAAAATTTAGCCGAGCAAACCCTGCAATCAAGACCTATAAGACATTCTACTGCAGATTGGGACTGCCCCCAGTCCTTGTTAAATGCTCCCATTTCTCTAGAGATTTAGGTCAGCTGCACTGGGAACCTGGAAAACAAAATTTTGAACTGATCCATACAAAATTGTAGAGATAATGTTGTGGACTTTGCAGGGGAAAGGGCTTAGATAAATGTTGTATGTCTAGCCCAGGGACTGGCATTCAGCTCTATGTCACTGCTGTGCATCCAGATAGATTTTGCAGTGACTGAAAATTATTAACCTCTTAATGAGCCTTCAGAGATGCTTAAGGAATCAGTTTCTGTTCTTAGCCTGCTATTCCAGTGGGTTCATCTTAACCATCTCCACTTGGAGGTCTTGCCAGCAGGTTCAGCTGAGAGACCAAGCATGTAATGAGAAAAAATTTCTTCTTACTTTACCAGAAGCACTTTTCTAACTTGAAGCCTTACAGGTCACCTGACTTACTCCTGAAACCCTGTCTGTGAAAGACTGCCACACCCTCCCACCCAAATCTATGAGAGACTTACAGGTTCTGTAGTCCTATCCTGCCCATGCTCTGCTTTACAAAGCACATTGAAATCAGGCTCTGTATCAGTAGCAGATCTCGAAAGTATTTCATTTCCTGGTACACGAGGTAGTCCCACAGGGTTCATGGAATCGGAGGTGCTTTCGTCTAGACAAGTCCTGTGATGAGGAGGTGTGCTGGAGTGGAGCTGCAATACTTAACTACCACCAAGGGCACATGCCTTCTCACAGTGCTTTTTTGAGGTAGATTCCTGCAAGCTGGCACTCCTCCTGCTGCCTCTGGTCCTGCTGCACGCACCTGAGTGCCAGGTGCAGCCAAGAAGATCAGAGGTGAGGCTGATTGGCTGTATCTGGAATATTGGATTGTGGAATGGGAAAGTTAGCAGTGTTGCAAATTCATGAGAGGGAGGAGTAACACTGAGGGAGCAAGTGGTGGAAATCATCTATATAGATCATACATACCGTGTGTGAGACCATAGATCTGTAGGAGTATGCTTTGGGTACAGTGCCACCCTTCATGTTAGTCTGTGTCCTTGCATGCCCTCCGTTGGGAGACTTGCATGAAAACATCTCTACATAGCCTCAGTGGGTAGATAAAACCCCATGGATGCTAAGACCAGAGCTGATTTCAGATGCCAGCACGTAAGGCAGGTCTCTGGGCTAGAGCAGAGTCCAAATCAGCTGGTATATGCATGCAAATCCTGCCAGGCATTCTGTGAGTCTGATACCGGATCTGAGTGAGAAATTGGAGAGCACACACTAAAGGTCTGATATCCTGAACTGCATATCATCCCCATGTGTTCCCTTGGGTCAGGCTTGTGTTTTGAGCAGATGGACTCTGAATATTTGTCGTTCATGCTGCCAACTGTCTGTGGCACCCTGTCCTAGTGTGCAGACAGCCTGTAAACACCTTTCCCTTCCACCTAGCAGAATGGGATAAATCACTGTCCTTTGATAGTTCCCTTAAACAAGCCCTAGAGATCATCACTCTGTCTGTGATAAGGAAGGTCTTGTAAAACTAACATTCAGGGATTCAGTTCTGTTCACCAGACAAGCTGGCATCTGAAGTGGAGAAAAGAAAGACTCAGAGAAAAGAAGGTGATGCCACTCCCAAGGGAAGATGGAGATCATTTACTGGAAGAATCACAACCACCAGTGACATCTTTGTTTCCCAGGCTCTGGGAAACACCCTGGCCAAGTTGTGCTGGGGATTGGCTGCTACCACGTTTGTATTAATTTCTTCGGTTAAATGGTTTCTTCTGAGTATGTGAATATAATCAGTGGAGTGTGTAAAACCCCCAGGTTTGACCCTTGCTGGGCTCAATGCTTGCTTGTGGTATAAATTTCTCAGGCATAACATAAATGTGTAATGGATTAAAGCTTTAATAGTATCTGTGCAGCAGTTGACTTAAGCAGGTGATGACAGGAGGGGCCGGTAATGCTGCTTTTGTTGGATGAAGGATATGCCAGGCATGCTGCTAATGTGTAACCCAATAGCACTATTCTGTTCCGAGTGGTCATTGGTGGTAATTATTCCCCATCCTACTTCCTTTGTCCCCCCCTTATTTGCCTCCAAAATGTCATTCTCCTGCTGAGGATGGGCAGGCAGACACTTATCGTTCCCTGCTGAGCTTGCTTGCCCTCAATAAATGCATTCCAGGCTTATATTCAGGGCCTCTGGCCTAGCCCTCATCCTCTGCATGGAAGGCATAATTCCCGTTCCCCGGCTGGAGTAGGCAAGGCATGGCCTGTTAAGACCCTTCGTAGCAGTTACCAGCAATGCTTCTGTAGAAATTTAAAGATGTAGTATTCAGAAGGCTATCTCAGAATAGCAACAAAGTACTGCTCCCTCATCCTTCTGTTTAATTAGTCTGCAGGGAGGTCTCCATTTCCATAGTTCATAACCGAAAAGGTGTTTGCTGCTTGCTCATTTCCAGCTCCTTGAACACACTTGAAATCTGCAGCCGAGCTGGTCTCATACTGCAGAGCAGTGTGCATAAGGACTTGTTCCCAGTGTAAATCCATCTCTTGCTTTGGCGTAGCTTTCACATGGAGGCTTCTAGTTGTGTTTTCATTGGAAGGGCTGGTCGGGAATAGCTCTGTGTCACACACACAAGGAAAACCTGCCTGTACGTATGTGTGAGACAGCAAGAGCCAGTGGGTTCCAAGCAAACTGTTTCTGGTCTGTCTGAATCCGAACTTCTGAGATACAAAGCATAACTACTGTTCATATGCCAAAGCCCATCAAGCATAGAAAAACCTAGGATGCCGAGGATAGATCTCAGTTCTTCAAAGAATCAGGAAGATAACCCTTTACCAAATAGACCTCACAGATATTATTAAAAACAGCTTCAAACTTATGATTGCTGTATATTACCAACAAAATAACCAAGCAATGAAAAGAAACATCCCAGCCTCTGGCACACAGGAGCTTTCCAGTGTATCACCCGCTAATTATTTTATTCCTTGATCTGTGACAGATGAAAATTTAGGACTGTCTGTTCTAAATTGTCTGCCCTCTGTATAGTCATTTAGGCCTGAGACTACCATCTGCTCTTCAGTTCAACTTACTCGCCGTGCCACAGATTGTGCAGTATCACTAAAAATAAATCAGAGCAAGTGCTTCATTCATCCACACTCTCTCTTCTTGGTGCATTCTCCGTGCAGCTGTCAATGGCTAGAAAGTGTATATGAAGCCTGTAGATTGTAAGAAGCAGTCAGGTTTATCACAGCCAAAATAATCACCCTACACAGCAACTTATAAACTTATACTGCCCACAGCTTTTCTAGGAGCAAACCAACCCCATTGTTCTCATTGGCATGAATGTTCATCTTCAAACCTGAAATGATTTTTCACTGACATGAAAACATGCGGAGTAGTGACACAAATGAGGTCTGAGCCTGTGAGGCCCTGAATGTGCCCAGGGGGTGCTGTGTCCCTTCAAGGCCTTGCAGGATTAAATACACCTTTCCTTCCACCTTTGCTTTAGAAACAAAGGTTTGTGAATTTGGAGGCTCAACCCAGACTGTGGATCTCAGCCATCATGCCTCTAGAACAGTAAACTAACCCAGAAGTATCTGTCATTAACAATAAAATAACGATTTATCTGCTTGCAGTGAAACTTTATGCTTTAACAAGTCAAGTCATCAATGGTGAGATGCAGTTCTACGCCAGGGCCAAACACTTCTACCAGGAGGTGCCAGCCACAGAAGAGGGCATGATGGGAGACTACGTTGAACTCTCCAATACAGACATTGAGTCCTCCAGGGAATTTCTCAGGAAGTTTGTTGGGGTGAGTCATCTAATCACATCTTCTGTGAGAAGCAGTGGTCACGTGTCATAAATGACATACATTGTCCCCAGTCACCTACATTTTAAATGGCACCATATGTCACATGTTATGTGCATGAAGCTCAATCACAGGTCATAACTGGCTTTCATTGTGTCCAGTAACATACAATTTACGTGCATGCTACCAGCTCATACATAATAATGAATATACCTTTTGCCTGGTCATATGTAATTATTTACCTGCTTTGCATTCTTTTCTTTTGCTCTGAAGCTGCAAAGAGAATTGTGCAAGGGGTTCTTCTAGTTAGGCTTGGGTAGAGGATTAATTCTCAGTATAGGACTTGGACCTTTCATGATACAGTCTTTGTCGGCTTCAGTGGGAGAATTGCCTGTGCAAGTTCCTGCGGTATGTTTACGAAAGTAGTTGAGACTAAATACCAAGTTTATGTTTTGCCTATTTATCACTATTTCAGAGAAGGCTGCAAGAAAAACCATCCTACCTCCAGTATTAGGGATATAGAGAATAAAGAGATATTGGAGAAGGCCGTTAGGAGAAACATTTTTTCTTGAGCATTCCGGTATCACTAAGGTCATTTGCAGGCAGATTTTTAAAGGTCTTCAAAGGTCTGTTTTGACCTGAGATGCAAAGAGATGCCAAGTGGGGTTTTAACAGCGACAGTGATAGCACTTTTGCACTTAGCTGCCTGAAAATCTCATTGATGCCTAAATGTGCCTCTAGAAATCTGCAGATCTTTAAAAGCGTGGTCCAGTCATTTCTGACTGCTCTTCCCCTTCCCAGGGGAAAAGCTGAACAGCAGTATTAGACACTAAACAGTCCACAAAGCCAAGGGCTGCAGGAAACCAAGTTTTGTGCGTTCTGCTCACAAAATGACTAGTTCCATATAATGTTACCATAGATCTTTCATTATCTACTCAAATGTACAAATTTGGGGTAACGAGATGACCTTTTTTTAGCCTTAATGATCGACTGTGGCAAAAAGCTCAATAAGTTAATTAGATGTTGTGTAAAAAAAAGGACAAAGTTTAAATGAACTGGGATGGAAAACAAGCGTGGCTTAACAACAGATTGAAGTCCTGTATAGCAGTGAAGGGCAACTGATGGAAAAGTTTACTGTACCTGATAGAGGCTCCTGGGCCAACATGCCAGCAAAGCGCAATTACTTGAGTGAACATCTGCATTATTTTTATGAATAGTCATTTGTATTAATGCTAATGCAAAAAGGCTTTACAACATCTCAAGTCCCTGGTGTGTTAGGCTTTCTACAAACACAAAATAAGAAAATAGAAAGGAAGTTTAGCAAGGCAGCTGAATCAGATGGTCAATGGCACTTTTACAGAAAATGAAATGTAACTTGTAAGTCTAGAGCCAGCCCAATGCATATGCATCCCTTAAATTTTAAGTCATGTTCGAAGAACCTTTGTGGAATTCAAGTGGTATATAAGCCTGTGCTCAGGGAAAGATTTCACACTTCCTAGACATCATACAGATTCAGTTTCCTGAATGGCAAGTTTATATCACAGCGTTACGCTTTCTCTTCTCCAAGACCCAAAAAGGAAAGAAGTACAGTCTGTAGCAGAGTTCTCACATGGCAAAGAGAAATCATACCCAATGCATCAGGTGTGATGACAGATACAAAATACTCCAGAGCAGAGTTCCTATTCCTTATTAGCCAGGGATAGTCTGAATGGCCAAGATCAAAACAGGGCAGAAAAAGGAATCTGCACGTTTTGCTAGTTATGATTTAGCTTGTTCAAGCCTGTCCGCAGTTGAGATACGCTCAATTGGTTATGTTACTTACGGTTTATTTTCCTTTCTTACTACTACAATTTGAATCCTACTCAACCAGATATAGATATTTACTAGCTTTATGTAGTAGTGGCTTTACTGTAAAGCTGATTTGAGGTATGTCTTCATGAATAATTATTTTTTGCAATAAGGCAATACAAATTTTAAAAAATGGTTCATGGTAATATAAACTATATTTTATTTTTTATAGACAAAAGCTATTCTTTGAAGATTAGAAGTTTAACAAAATCAGAAAATAGGAAAATCAGTTTCAGATCAGGTGAAAATATTTCACTTCCTTTTTTTGTTGTTTTACCCTCTGAAAAATTTCTCCTTTTGTTTTCAAGAAAAAAGTCAGTTCCGAAATGAAAAACGCTGTTTAGAAATGAAAAGTTGACCAGTTATTTTTTCCGTGAAAGTCATCAAAATGAAGTGTCTTGACATTTTCAGCACTTTCCTGTGTTTTTTTGGCCATAACTATTCTCTAGATTTGAAATATGAATTTCAGGGATAGTTTTATTCTTCCAAAACTTTATTTTCTGGCAAATTTAGTGTTCCTTAAAAAGCAGTTGCCCAGTTCCACTCAAATTACTCCTCTTGAGTTAGTTTGGCTTGTGTGGAAATGCCACACACGGACATTTCTCTTACGTGACTTATGTTGCATACCTTCACGTATGGCATTTCTTAGCATGATTCTTAGCCCCACCGTAAACTGAACCTTAGATTTCTTTACCATTGGAGAGTTTATCTTGCCTGGGCACATGGAAGGAATTACAGAAAGGCACAGGAGGACTAAGGACTTCAGTTATATTTTATCCTGTCTCCCTTCCCAGGTGAGTCAAACTGAGTTAAAAGTGCCACTGTGCTCAAGCTGAGAGGTTTTATGTGTGTGTGGGCAGATTTCAAACCAAGAGCAACATTCAAGTCAGAACCTGAGCCAGCAGTGCAATACAGACAAGCTATAAGTTGTTTTACATGCAGCCCATATTTGAAGGGTTATCAGCAGAACTAGGTCGGTGACTATTTATGGCCGTGTGTTTATGCCAGTTAAAGCCTTGCTGTCCCTATAGACACTGTGTTTTCAAATGCCTAATCCAGAGGTAACGTGTAAAAAAGGAAACAAGGAAAGCAAAGAAAACATTAATTCCGGAACAGTTGTGAGCTATAGATGTGTGAAATAGTGCAAGAGAGGATTATCCTCAGATAATAGGGCTCCCTTTCTGCCCTAAACTCTTGCCCTTATTTTACCAGTCTGAGCGGTTACTGCTGAACAGAAAGTTTCTGGAGAGTGATTTTGCCCCTGTTTGGTCAGGGCAATGGCAGAGATTTGGTTGAAAAAATGTAGAAAAAAATATTTAATTTAGAAAGAAAGCCACTGTGCTTTTTAGCTATTTCTTGAACTCCGATTTATTTTTACTTCTGCGTAGAAGCAAAGGGTCTTCTTCACAAGACCCTTCCAAGACCTGAAGTACTAGCACCAGGAACATATGCCACAGCTATTTTACTTACCCCTAAGGAACTTCTTGAGTGCCCTGTTCAGCTTTTCAGCAGAACTTCTGATTGCGTACATATCCTAAATGATAGTGATACTGAGTAATGTGAAACAGATAATCAGAGGAGCAGTTAATCGCAAATTTTTGAGCCTGATCTAGCTTAAATTTTTTACTTAAACTATTTTTTAAATAAGAAATCTGATTTTTAACTCAATTAGGCTTTTGGGAAAATGATTGCTTTCCAAGGAAAATGTTAATACCCTATCAACGCTCTGAGCACTCCCAAACTGAAAATATATTAGTGGAACATGAAATTATATCAACATTTTCATTACAAATGGAGCCATAGTGCTTTGGAGGGGTACTAGTCTGATTGCCATTTGCTCTTGTTCTCTGTGAGCAAAGTGTAGGATCAGGCTTCATCTCCCAGGTTTGTCCGCTTTCCTGCTTCTTGACGGCAAATGCAGACGTGTCATCAGACGTCCTTGCCATGGCGCATCGTGAGAGGTAAATTCCCCGTCTTGAACGAGGTACCCTAACTACAGCTTCCCTGAACGCAAGTATCAAAGTCAAAGCAGTCGTATGGGGTTTTGTCTAATTCTGTTAGCTTTTTGGGTAGATGATCCCTATTTTCTGACCAGCTCTCGCAAGGCTTTTTGCTTAATCACATCAGCCTTTCAGGTCCCTGTGCTCTTTCTACAGTTATTCAATGTAACCAGATGCTCAGCTGGGCTATTCATAGTCATGCCATTGACAGTACTGTCCTTTGACCTTAATAATCTACTGAATTACCCACTGAAGCAAGGCCAAAAAAGCAGTGAGTTACATGGTTTATGCTTGGTCATTATGGAGGAGGTCTCCTAATAAGCAGGAAAAGCTAAATTCTTCCTGGGCTTATTTTCTTCAGGAGCAGTGAAGTTGCAGCAGGAAGACTTTGGCCCATAACCTTCACTTTAACTTTCAGTTCCAAAGAACAGGGAAAAGGTGTTTACATTTGCCTTTAATATATTTGTTTAACAGATAACTTCAGCCAGGGGAGCTCCAGTCCCACAGTCAGGGCCTGTGCAGCCTTAAAATTTGTTTTACAAAACAGCAGCAGGCTATTAAGAGCCTTTTTATAGCTAGAATGGAAGCTTTAGAGATGAAATGCTGCTTTCATTATAAAGCTCCTTTTCCAGTGACTCATTATTTTCTCATAGACATACCCTTTGTGGCACAATTTTTCATGTCGGATCTCAGTCCGGAGATTTATAAAGAAAAAAGAGTAAAATATTCTCAATCATCTTTTTTGTCTCTACATCTAAAAAAGAAATTCTGAATATGCCTCAGTCCAAAATTTTTATGTTGTCATAAGTTAGCTACAGCTCTAAGATCTTTGTTCAAACACAGCTTGTTTTGAAAATTGCACTCAAATCTCAGGACACTCTATATCTGTAGAGATGTCTGTGGGCACCTTGGAAGTTTTGTACTCTGGAAGTTAATTCTTGCGTGCAGTATATGGTACGCGCTCATTTTTAAGCCTTCACTGGGCTCAGAATGTAATGAGACATCTCTGTAGCTGGCTGTGAGGTATGAATATTTGACAGATGAACTTGCAAGGACTTTACAAAGATTAGGGGATCTTCTGAGAAGGTTAGGAACTTGTGAAAAGATATGTCTCTTCTTATACCAAGCAAAAACTTATTGTACAGCAAGGAATGCAGTACTGCAGTGAAGAGGTCCCATCAACAGCAGCCTTGGCATTTTAGAGCTCAGTAATGTTGCATAGTTAGGCCTCCCACCACTCTTACTGTGTAGGCAAATATAGGTCTCCCCTTTCTCACAGAAGGGAAAGCTGAGTCCCAAACTGCAGTGAGCCTCCCAAGGAAGGGAGTGCACTTTTGAGGAATATGGCTCCTTCGAAATTTTGTAGTTTTTTTGAGTGTCTCTTGGGGACAAAGCTGAGCCAGCTACTTAATTCTTCGTGTCTCTTCCTAAACATGATTACAGCTATCACAGAGAGAGAAATTTAGAGAAGGCCTTGAGAGAGCTATTTGAAGTCAGTGCAAATTGAACAAATCCCTTCTTGCCCTACGTAAAACCAAGAAGCTATACCAGAAGTGAAGGATCTGTAAAGGATGCAGGGAGCTCATTGCTAGTAGATACCTGAGCCACAAATAAGTGGCTCACAGATAATCTGAATAGATCATTTTAGGTCTGGTAATAATATCTGCAGTTTTGCAGACCAGGAGCAGTAGCGTTTTGTTCATAACTCTGTACATTGGTGACAGCATAAAGCAGGAAAGGATTGCCACCTGCCAGCATGGTTCATGTGTAGATGAAGGAGTATCTTTGGTTGAGCCTGCAACAAAGGCTGCAAGAGTACGCACCAAATGAGTGGCTGCTGGAGACCTGGGGTGATGAATATGAAAGTCAGTGTGCTGGGCAGGGGAGCCTGGTGTAGACAGCCTTGGCTGATAGGAGTAGGGCAGGGAGGGAATCCAGCTGGAGAGCTAGGGGAGATCTGTCTTCACTCCCTCCTCTTATTGGTTTGGGCGCTGAGCATGGTTCTGTAGGACACTGGGCTTCACTCTGAGCTAGGGGGAAGTGAAGATGGAGGAAAAATGAATCAAGACGTTTTCTGGGAATATAGCAACCAGCCCTGCTCACTCCTAGGTGCCCAAAGCTGTTTTCATCGTGTCCCAGCTTGTGGTGCCTTGCACAAATAAGGAGACAGGACACTAGGCTTGGTGGACTAAAAGCCATAGCTGGTAACACAGTTGCTGTGATCTTTCAGGTGGTATTTTTCAGGTTTAAAATGATTTTCTTGTATTCCACAGGGGGTAGGGAAAGCTGGCACCAACTGCGCCCTGGACTGCGGCTCTGGGATAGGTCGGGTCAGCAAGCATGTCCTGTTACCAATTTTCAAGAGCGTGGAACTGGTGGATATGATGGAGAATTTCCTGGCTGAGGTCCCAAACTACCTACGGGGCAAGGAGGACAGAGTAGAGATGTATTATTGCAAAAGCCTTCAGGAATTCACTCCAGCCCCACAAAGATATGATGTCATCTGGATTCAGTGGGTTTCAGGTTAGTTCAGCCTGATTCATCCAGCCAGGCATCTCAGAGAACTACACAGCCTGTGCTAAAAATTATGTTAAAAGAATGGTGCAGCTGTAAAAGGAGGTTCTCAAATATTCAAAAAAGCCAGGCTGAAGACTGACCAGTGCTGGGGGCACAAGGCTTGCCCTGCCCTCATTCAGTTTCAGTGCCTGGTCCCACAGCAGCTGTCCACTGCCAGCACAAGCGATTGAAAAAAAAACAAAGAGAGAAACTACTATACTCCTGGAGCCCTACTGTGGAGTCAGGCAGTCCTCACAGTTCATATCTCTTTGAACTTAACCACAGAATCCCATTAGTCCAGGAACAGCCTCACTTCCCTTAAAGTCTCACAAGAGACCTTTGAGAGTTCTCCCAGGCCACATGAACAGTGGGTACGGATCAAGTTGCTTTCATTTAGGTCATGTAGCGGGGCGGATGGGGGGCATATGTAATTGGAGAGCAGGTTGCATGCTAAGGTGCAGCTGAGGAGTAGGCCTTATATCTAGATTTTCTTGAGCAGGGATCTTCCTTAGCAAGCTAATAATCTAATGATGCTGCATACAGATATGCTGGGTTAGCCTCATCTGTGAGCAGTGATCCATCAAAACCTCTACATCTGGCATGTCATGGGAGAAGGACTGTAGCACTATGGCAGTAACAGCATGTCAGGTTAAATCTTGGCTATGAGGACATCCAGCATGTGGGAGAGAGTTGTATGAGTCTCATTCTCTTGTCTGAGTCTTGGCAGATCTTGTACAACATTTTGCCCATGTGTTTTTCTGGAGAGTTTGGTACTACAGCCGGCCAAAGGGTTATCCTGAATGATGTCTCACCATGCAGTCTCACAGGGAGAAAGAGCCTTTCTGAGAGATCTGCATCCCCTCTTCAGATTGGGCAGCCCAAGGGTTTGGACAGAGGGCAAGTGCTTAGGTTTGTTTGCTCACAAGATTGGTACTGCCTTCATTTAAGGATAGCTTCTTTTGGCTCTTTGCAGAAAGTCTTTTTCCACCCAGACTTCACCACCTCTGCATCACAGCTTGGCATCCCTTGGGGTAGTACCCATAACAGTCTTGTGGGAATCACTGGCATGTCACATACCCCTTGCACACTGAATTCTTTAAGTTAAGTGGCTCTTTAGGTCCTTCCTCAGCTGCTGTCAATAAGTGTCCCTCCCTGTTACTGATTTTCTGGAAGGGAATTCTGAATCTGATGATCCCGACTTGGGGATATTTGAGGAAACAATCCGGAAAAAGCCATAGTAAAATCACCAATATCTATAAATCAGACCTTATACATGCGCTGGTGCTTATCAAACAGGTTCACCTAGCAATGTCCCACAGCACCTCTTCATATTACAAATGTCTGCTTCCTACCCTGCAAGCCACCGCAGTGAACGCACTGCAGTATTTAAAGCAGTAAACTGGCAGTCAGATAGCGTGGGTTGTATTCTTGGCTCCGTCATTTTTATTTGATTCCTCCCTGCATGAAAAGTGCTCTAAAGTCATAAGTGAATGGAGTTGTCCTAACACCTGTAGAAAAGGGGAGTGGAAGGTGATTTGAGAAGTCATCTTTCCATTCTCCTGTCACAAAACCCCAATTTTTGACAGACAGATGTTTGCCCAAGCTGTTCTTTAAAACCTTCACTGCTGGAAATCTCATAATCTTTCTAGAAAACCTGCAGCAGTGCCTAACTGTCCATCCAGAAAGTAAGTTGTGTCCTAATCTTTGAACCTAAACATCCCTTGTGCAGTTCAAGCTGTCAGAACTCATTGTTCTAAAGCACAAGATGAGGCCTGAACTCCTTCTCTCCAAAACTCTGGAGGTAGTTTCTTGCTAGATAAAAGAAAAAAAAACAGACAAAGGCAGGGAGGTTGGTGCAGGAGATGATGTTATTCAGGAGCACATACTTGTTCTCTACATATAGTCTTACACAATATTGAAATCAGTCTTCTTAGAACAGGGCTTTTTTCTTTAAGTGTGCAAACAAACTGCTTCAGAACAGTATCATTTTCCTTTGTTATTTGTCCTTCTTGAATAACCCATCATTGCAGTATACCCAGCTCCTGCCTCATCTCTTCAGCAAGTCCAAGTAAACATGAGATGAGATGAGCTAAGACTTGTCCTTGTCTGGAGTTGTACTGGTCAGCTGTGCGGCTACTAACAAAGGGAACATCTGCCTTTTCCTTAGCATAGACACATATCTGGATCTCTTTCCTCCCTTCAGCCATCAGTCTCAATGAAATCTGTAGGAATTTAAGTATTATTCAGACTTTTACCCCTCTTTTGAGTGGCTGAAATATGCCAACAAGCTCACCACTTACTGGTGGAGCGGCAGCAGGCCAAACTGGCAGGTAGCAACATCCTGAGATCTCCTTTTGTTAGGAAACAAGGCTAAAAGCTAGGTTAAGAGAACGTTAAATTCCAAATGAGGTGTTCAAATGCTTCAATTACTCTTGCCCATGCAGTCTTGATTTGTCTCATGTATACATAACTATAAGAGCGCGTGCTGTTATTTTATGAAAAAATAAAAGGAAAGCTTACATTTCATATTGAAATTACCATTTTCCTTCAACTTGAAACCTATTCAGTTTTAGGCTTTGGGGCTTTTTTCTTTTTCTTTTTTGAGGGGAGAGAGGGTTAGTTTAAAAAACGGACATTCTCTGTCAAAATGTGGTTTTGAAATGACAACTTCCATTTATGAAAGTTCAAATCTTCCATCAAGAAAACTAAATATTTTGACTAGAAAATATAAACAATCAAAATTTTCAAGTTTTTCATTTAGTTTCTGACCAGCTGTCCTTGTTAATTCAGTTTAGATGGATTTCACATGTGAGAGTTTTCAGTTTGCTCTTCTCTGAGCACTACTGATCTCAACATAACCAAAGCATTGATCTTTGAGAGGGAAGGCTAAAAAACATAATCTCAATAAGATACTCTAAAATTTAAAATATTTCACTTTTTTGAACCTATATGATATATGTAGAAATCACAAGAGGATGGGGTAATATGAAGAGTTTATTTGGCAGTTTGGAAGGTCTTGCTTTCCTCAATAGATCTTTAATCCAAAGCTTCTGTGATGAGTATACAGTGTTACACAAAGACTTATAGATCTGTAGTGTTAAAACCCAGAAGGGACCATTAGGTTATCTAATTTGACCTACTCGATATCACAGTCTATTATATTTCGTTCGTTCACGCTCATACTAAGCCAGTAGTTTGTGCTCAATTAAAACGTATCTTGAGAAAGTCAACCGCACTTGATTTGAGGAGTTCAAGAGGTGGTAAATCTACCACTTCTGTTGGTAGTTTCCAATGGGTAATTACTTACCCTGGTAAACAGTTGTCACTTATTTCCGATTTGAATTTGTCTGGCTCCAGCTTCCCGCCACTGATTCTTATTATGACTTTAACCACCAGATTAAAGAACCCTTCAGCACCCGGTATTTTCTCCGCTATTCCCACTGACTTCTGTCCACGTTTGTTGCTGCTGCTAATTTGGATCCTAAATATTGATCTGAATTTGCAACTGTTGATCTCACTGATTTGCCCTGGATTTCATAATGAAATCTGGCAGGACTAGAACTTCTCCTCCAATAAATAGGATATGGAGAAGCAGATCAAGGCACCATTGTGATGTTTAACGGGGGAGTCCCTTTAACAGCTAGTAGTGATCTCTTTTGTATCTTTTCATCTGTAGGATATCTAACAGATAAAGATCTCCTTCAGTTTCTCATCCGGTGCCAGAATGGCTTGAAGGATAACGGTGTTATCATTCTCAAGGACAACGTAGCCAGGGAGGGCTGTGTCCTGGATTGTCTGGATAGTAGTGTGATCCGAGACCTGAACATCCTCCACAGTCTCATTGAAATGAGTGGACTCGCCATCCTACAAGAGGAGAGGCAGGAGGGATTCCCTGAGCAGTGTGTCCCCGTCTGGATGTTGGCCATGCAGAAAGACCCGGGCCGTTTCTGATGGCATCGCGTGACTGCAGAGACTGGAATATGGACCAGCCACAGGACTGGGAAGGAGAAGAGGGAGGAAGAGCATCTACTAGAATCCTACTAACCATGTACTGCTACTACTACAATTCTAGGGGATCGACTTCTGAAGGATCAGGAAATAATTTTATTTGATCCAGCTTCTTTCCTGGGAAACGTGCTCCAGAGGACCCTGCTTGAGCAGGTTGGACTAGATGATCTCCAGAGGTCCCTTCCAACCTAAACCATTCTGTGATTCTCCGAGGGACTGCTCTGCTTCTAAAATCTGCCTGCTTCATCATTCTCTCCACCTTTAGAAGCCTTTTTAACAGCTCATCATCAGATTTTTCTTTCATTAGAGAGTCAGTACTGTGCCAAATCCATCTAATTAAAATAATTCAGTTTGGTGTTTCTGTAGTGGCTAATACCTTTTCGAGTGCCCTATATGAGGGGTTAACAAATAAGTCTGTTTTCTACAGTGGCGCTTAAGTCTTCCTGGAAATTAAGAAGGATCTATCAGATCACTGAAGCGGAACATTCAAATAACTTCTGGAAAACCTAGCCCAAATGTGGACTGCCGTCACTATCCATACTTTAAAATGATTAAGCCAAAAATGTAAGGAAAGTTTTATCTGTTTGTTGGCATCAGCTGTGCAGTTTGTTTTTTTTTTCCTTCCTGTCAGTTTAGACAATAAGATAACCTAGCTAATTTTCCTTTCTTTTTTTTAGGAACTACTTTACCTGCCTGGTGTTTCTGCCATAGAACAATAGTGGCGCGCAAGGGTTTTCACACTACGGGGGAAAATTTAATTGACAAATATATGCATGTTTGCATTGAAATTTTGTGAAAAGATTGTCCTACAGATTACATTCTGGAAAATATTTTTTCAAAATGATCACAGTGGAAACCACTTAAAAGCATCTCTTTATTATTCATACCACTGTAAATTTCTTTCTTTCCCACATTCCCAACAAGTCTGGCACCATATGCAGAGCTAATGGGATTTCATGGGATGTTAATAGTAAGAAGAACTAATACAGTATTGTTTTAATTAATAGCTGTACTAAACTGCAGCGGGTGTTAGTGTAACCAAAAAGCATCTATGATTTATATTCAAACAGCAGCTGTATAAGCCTGGATTCGACAGTACTAATGCACATACCATCTCCTTAGGGCTCAGAGAAATTGCACGTTGAGCAGCTTCTCATCCCCTTCACATATGCACAGAAAGAACTGTGGGAAGAAGGAAGTTCATTTTGCAGAGTTTTTCAGAATTTGAAATTCTGCTTTATTCTGAATGAGGACAAAAAAAGGGAATTTTTAAATTCTTTATAAAGGAGAATTCCAACCACATGACCACGAATGTATTCCAAGTAGATTAAAATTTTTCATCTGGACAAAAGCAAATGTTTCGTTTGAGTTTGACTTTTAAAAACATTTTCGTTGAAAATATTTGTTACTGTAACACAGTAAAAAGCAACTTAAAAATGGTTTGCTGAAAATTTAAAAAATGAATTATAATGTTAGAATGGCCTGTTTTGACTCTTCCAGACCTTGTAACTTGTTTTATTCTTCTGAAATGCAATTCTAGCAAAACTTATAAGGCTTTGCAAAGGGTTGCATTATGACAAACTTCCATGTTCTGACGGAAAGGGGTCCTCCACATAGCTCTGTGCACAATTGTCTGTGTCATCTGTGTTAGATTAACCCACGTAGAAGCCTGAAGGTAACGAGATCAGGGAATGTCTCAGCTAGATTTTAGTGTTCTTTGCCATCCTTTGATAATGAATCTCCAGTTTTGTTTTAACTGAGTAGCTCATCTTCTCTAGCAGGATGGTTGCCTATGTTGAGAATTTCCAGTTTATGGTGGAGGCCTTCCTGCAGTCAAATCTTATCCAGTAATTGTTCTCTTAATGTGCCATCGCTAACTGTAGCACTAAGGAAAACAACCCTGGTGATTTGGTGAATATTCTGGCGTGTCATATAACCTAGAAAACTATGGTTCCCAGGACACAGATGCTTCTGGAATGTTTTGACTAGTTCGTCCATTTTAATCAAGTGGTAATGGAAGCAAATTTAGCATATAATGTTGTAAAAAAACCTAGGTGAACAGTTATGTTCTGAACTTGTCCCCAGGACTAAATGCTTCTGATTCCTTTTAAGCCACTGTAATGGTTTCATTCTGCCAAGACTGCTAAAAGCTGTGGCAGTGATTGGGTGAATATGAGTACGTACAGCTATTTGAAGGAAACCCAGTCGTTTGTTTTACAGGACAGAAGCATCAGTCCTATGGTTCACAACAGTGGTTAGTAGTAACGGAAGAATATTTAGAAGACCTTTGATGTTGATTACAGATTAATTTGTCCTTCACCATTTTTTCTTCCAGCCAGAGATGTCTGCTATGGCGCAGAATGAGGACTGCTGGAGATCCTCGTACAATCATGTTTGTGCCAGGCATATCTGAATGGTGTTGGTCACTACAATGGTGAGAGAACTGCATTGTGGAAATAGGGAAGTAAATACTTTTATAGAAATCTAAACAGCTGCCACATCTTGCTGTGCAGAGTGTATCAGCTGTTCCCTTCAAACAAGAGTGGATGCAGTTTAGTAATGAGAGAAGTGGTTCCAAGATGGATATAGGATGCAAATTGGCTTATGATGAAAGGTAGAACATAAATGTTTGGTATCGCTGTCAGTGAAATAGATTTTTCTGGGTAAAAATATTCTTCACATGTTTTGTGCATCTTTCCTCTTTGAATTTCCAGAATACATCTATATGAACATATCACAAAAATATATCACTAAAATATGTTCCCTTAACTATGTGAGAATGGAGACAAGCAAAATCTTAATTTAGTAGAAAAACCCATATTTCATGGTTTCCACATTCCTGGAAATTAATGTTTCATGGCTATTTTGCTTCCACAGTAAAATATTAAAGCTTTTCTGGTGACATAATGAACCTCAAGAGTAAAGAAACATAAGCCCTCCAGGGGTTTAGATGCATGAGATTGCTGCAGACTGAATAATATTTTGTTTTCCTCCTTTTCCAAGTTACATTCAAGAATTCCCAGTCAACCAGTAGGCCATCCTTAAATGTTCATAATTTTGGGTAGGGCCAGTCTCAGCTTAAAAGTGCTGGACTCTGGATTTTAGCGTAATGTGTAATAATAGTGGATCATGAATGTCGAACTGAAAATCTTGCTTAGAATTCATCTATGTATCAGTTGCCCTTTGGTGTTCAAAGACTGGATAATTAACTCAGATGCTCCACCTCAGCTTTCAGGTTATTTAAAGCATGCATGTAAAGAAGTCTTTAGCTCATCAGAACGCACTGGAAGTTTGAATCTCATTTGTTTGGTGCTCATTTGGGACTTGTTCCTGATCTTGATGCTAACATGAATTTAATCCAAGATCGAGACCCTACCTGAGGTAGCATTCACAGAACATTCAGCGTCCTGTAAGCTCAAACCCTCATTCACCACTGTCAGGTAATTAGTGAGCTAGCCATTTAGTCCTTCAACCAGCTCTTTCTGTCACACACCCGCTACTTAAGTAATCGCTTAGCCAAAACATAGTAAAGCCCACTTCTGCCATGTCACTACCAAAGCTCTTGGTAATGCCTGTTTTTCCCATGTCAGGCCCCATACTTCTTTGTTGTGTGGCTGAATATCAAGTATTATCTTATGTGAAGTTCCCTCAGACACTGACAGTGGCCTCTAAATGCTACTGCAGCCCAAACAAAATGTAATGAAGTAATCATCACAGCAGTCTGAACAGCAATCCCAACTGTGCAGCTCCAGCAACCATCACAGATCAAGCTGTTCATGTTCAGAAGGCTATTCAGACGTTGCAAATGTGCTTTTACTCCTGATTGGCACAAAGAGCCATCCTTTTGAAATGTACCACTGAATGGATGTTCTGGAATATTTTATTTCAGAAATATTGAGATGATAATTTCAAAATATTTAGTTTAATTTTCTTGCTTGGATGTGTGTATCATCTAATCTAAACTTAATGTGAGATGATAATGTGATATGTGAGAGATATATATGGTATTATAATAGTTGAAATGAAACGTTAGTTTCCTACAGAATACTCTGATAAAAGCAGTACATTCCCTGCCCCCGGCTTTAGTGAAAGCAGTCAGCAATTTCCAGAGGAAACAGTGTTTTCAGGAGGAACAGTTCTATCAAGAAGTATTTGCCCAAACTCTTTTTCCCTGGATGTATCCTGTCCATTCAGGCAGCTTGCAGATGTGCCTGGTCTAGTGAGTAGCCACCATAAGCTTGCAACAGGCAAGAGGGAGAAGCAGCATATCCAGAGCAATTCAGACCACCTCAGAGCTGGACTGGCCGGGGGTAAGACAGCATCCTCTTCCCACAGTGGCTGTAGAGTGGGAATGAAAGTGCATCCTTGTTACAATCAATTTAGCGTCTTCATTGTTAATGTCAAACAGAAGTGCAGAATGATCTGATGAGCTGTGACTGTCAGAACTATGAAAGGGTATGGACTTGGATAACCCAGCACCTATTAGAAATCAAAGTCCTGGTACTGGGCTACCACATTAATGGGAGCAATATATATGAGTACGTAATGCCAACTGACAAAAGCTTTGTCAATAATTCCACGGAGTGCCCTGAGCACCTTTATGCCATTCTCCTGCTTTTTCCATTCTCTTAATCCAGGCTCCGCAGAGCGTTTACAATGACATATCAGACAGTAGGCCTGTCCAGAGGAACTTGACTGTTATGTGTGATTAAAACCAGTTGTGTTGCATCCCATTCCTCTTCTCTTCTTTGATGCTTCTTCCAACTTGCCTCCACTTGCCAAAAATGTTTTGTTCCCTGTGGACATCACCACATATCACTGAAGTAAAACAGATTACCTTTCATTTTAAGAGGAGGTAATTCTGTTTATCTGAGAGCAATAACAACAGGCTGTATTTCAAACCTATGGGTTAATACTTGTCTATTTAAGTTGACGTCAAAGAGCCACTCCAAGACCTTTGCACCAAACAAACAAAGCTCACACTGTCATCGTCCTTATAGATACACTTTCCATCCCTAGACCTTGAAGGATATGTTATCATTGTGTTCTGGATGAGGAAACTGAGGCACAGAAGGGTGATCTGGGCCACACTACAGTTTTATCTAAGTGGGAGCTGTGAATGATTAACACTTCTACAAATCACACCGCTACAGGAAGAACTACAGCATTTTGCAGGCAGGCAAAAGCTTATTCTGCCTGTGCTTGGAGCAGATTGAAACAGTGTGGTTGTGGTTAGCCTACCGATTAACCCAACCTAATATGTCCTGCAAAGAGCAAGCTCATGCTAAACGTTGCACTCATGGATATATACAGCTTCTGCTCATTTCAGAGCATTTGCAGAACAACCTGGAGTACGCCTGCAAGAGAGGCTGCAGACCTCCTGTTAAACAACAGAATGAGCCCAGCCAGTGCTGCAGCAAAAATAAAGACAGAAAATTAGTGGAAATTTTCTCTTCCTTGTCTCTGTCTTCTGGAAAGGTTGAACTAGCAGGCATTTCAACCTATTATAGTATTTTCAGGCTCCTGAGACGTACCGTTTTTAGAGGCATTTGAAAATACGGAAGTCCCACAAGTGTGCTGTGGCTTACCGGATGCCTATTGGTGTCTTTGGATGCCTGTAATTCTCTGAAGATATGGCCTGTAGGAACCTCAGCTTAGACACAGAAGACTAGGTTTTCAGAAGTGCGTATGAGACCGTATGTGAAAATGTTTAAGTGCCTGTCAGTGGAGTCAGGCATCTAGTGGGATTTCTAAAGCATGTGGCCAATTTTATTAAAGTTTAGCATCAACATGCCTTTGAAGATGCCAGTGAGAGAAGTAGATGTTAGGTATAATTAATTTCACTTGATTTGAACCTTAATATAGATGTGTTCTCTGAAATAAGTCTCCTGGGTCTCTCTGCAGTAAGTGGAGAGAAATCAGCACGTGCAGGAGACAGTGCATCCCATTCTGGATAGACATGGTAAAGATCCAAGCAGCAGCAGCAAAGCCCTTCTGAAAGCCCCAGTCAGGTGTACCTCTTTGCAGTTACTTGAACTGATTTGTAAGTGCATTATGCGTGATTGTTCCGCTCGCTCTCCTTAAACTCTGTCAGTGTCCCATGAATGTAAAATCCTGATGCAAAAACTGTTCCCTTCCAAATCTGTACCAGAGATTCCCAAACAGTGGCACACATGCCACAGGTGTGGTGCTGAGCCTCTCCAAAGTGGTATGCAACACTTTCTGAGCAGCGTCTTCTGCCCACCTGCAGCCTGAC